CCAGTTTGGATTCCGGCGGGGATTCCTGATCCAACTATGGGCTAAGACACACGAAACACACACACCACTTGGATTTGACGTACGCGTTACAACTGGATACAGAGTCAGAGGATGTAAGATAGTCGAAACATTGGGTGTAGTTTCTGAAACCGGCCTAAAAGAAGTGCATTCAAACGCTGGCCTCCTAACCAGTTTGAAACATTATGTGCCGAACGCTGATCCATATCAAAACCCAGATTAGGTAATCCTTCCTAATCGAAAATGCACTTCAGCAATTCTGTTGTCATTTTATGAGAGCAATCACTGACTGTATATATCCTCGTCACGAATGACTTTTTCATGACTTTCATAACCAATGTTAAGTAACCGACTAGGATATCACACTATGTCTCATCTCCGCACTAAAGACGAAGTACTGATCTAATGTACGAAAGAATTAACAGAGCTGCATACAAGGCATTACCTGGATTAAGAGCTTGAGGGCTCGATCAAGCTCATTGTCCTTCATGCAGCAGTTGGCTAAAAGTTTACAACTGGCAAATTTGATGGACATCAAATGGGGTGGTAGGGGCTGAAAACCAAAAAAACGAAAATATGCCTTCAGAATAGGGAAGCAAAATAATGTTCACATGTGTACAGGTAAAGTATCCAACGACGTACCAGACACCGTAAGACAAAACTTTCTACGATATTTTCCAGAAGCGGTTTGATCGTCAAACCCGATGAGGCGTTCTCAGAGGATACGCGCAGAACGAAACGATAAAGTTTTGTTATTCGAACCTTTTTAATAGAAAAAAAAAGAAATCAAAATATGACAGAACAAAATTGGCTAAAAGGCATATGACGAACCGACAGAAGCGACGAAAACAGGACCCAAAATATTGCATAAAAGCAAACACAACCTGGCGGCGGCGGTGGCCGAGGACTATTTTTGGAAAAGCGGGTGGACGTGAACTGATAAAAACTGGTCGAACTCGGAAGGCAGCCAGGACAGTGTTTCTATAAATGAATTATGCATAGGCTGTTTGGCTGCTAACCGATGTCGTGCAGTAAAATGGACATCAGCCTCAGAGGAGAAGTCAGACGAGGTGGGCATCAGATTATAGCCCCCTACCAACTCTTCTAGGTGACCCTTAGAAAACGTATAGGTCTGCTGCGAGTCAAACGTCTTGCATAGAAATCTGTCTGTACACACAATGACAATTCGTGCTGTACTTTTTAATCGGACAATTAACTAACAAATGCGATATAAAAGGCTGGTCCTTTCATTAACGCTTTCAGTTGAAGGACCTTATTTCAGCAATAGGGGGACTATTTTTCAAGTTTCCCAGGAAAAATGCCTTCAGTACAAGAGGACTGTAAATTGAATCAAAATAAGTGAAGACCTGGGATGGAAAGAAGGGGCATAATTACCTCCTCAGCTTCCTTTGAAAAACTCTTCTCCTTCACCGGCTTTAGAAGTTTGCTGACTGCATCCGAAGAGAGGGAAAGGTCTCTAGACGAGTCGAAGCTTTCATCGACTTTACTGCGATTGAGATCATCTGCTACTTCGGGAGAGTCTAGGTCGCGCGATCTAGAGTTCGCTTCCAGACTCTTTTGACTACTGGTGGGAGCAACAGGAGCACTCAGTAGGGTCGAATCACCATCAGCAGCGAAAACCTTCTCAGTAGTTTTTATTTTAGAACGGGGACTGTCATTATCCGGTGAAGAAAGTGCTTTAAACGCAAACTAGGAATTAAAAGGCTATAGTTTAGTAGTGTGATAAACAATAAGAACTGGACAAAAACAATGTAAAAACTGTTATAAAAACTATACTGCCACTAGCATGAGGACCGGTTGTAGCGCGGAATCCAAAGCAAATTAACAGAGTCCTATTCGCCGGCCAACTTTTGTTAGAAGACTTAACAAATACTATTTAGACTAGAGTTTATTCGGTTAGCAAGAGCAGTCGCTGCAAGAGCATTAGCATCAAGAAGCATTTTGCCTGGATAATATTCGATTACACGCCCTTATAAGGATGACAGACGACGGCGGAAGTGTAATTTCGAAATTGGACAAGGATATGAACACGCAATTTTGACATCTACTCCGGAGGCAAACTATAAATTGGGCAGTAAGCTGAGAGAAAACGGGGGAATGACGAACTGCAGACACTAAGCGTTACTCCAATTCTAGTTGCAAGATACGTCTACAGGTGGTAGAAAATGTAACAATCCTGACTGCATTTTAGTAGTGAAATCTTAAAATGCACAGGGGAAGAACATTAGCTAAGCGACAGTGTTATCAAGGAGAGAAGGATTGAGGTTTGAGACAGAAGCTACCTTACTGACAACAGCGTTGAAACGTAGAGATTTTGGATCGACACGTAAGTTTCGTTCTTTATGGTTATCGTGCTGACTGAATACTCATCGAAAAGATCGGGTCCTCAAGATTTTATTCAAGGCATAGTAAGTATCTAGAGATAAATATTTTTCAATATCTTAATTCTTTTTGTCAAAAGCCCATGCTAAACGCTGTGTCGCTAAATAAGGTTATCTGTTCAGGACGAGTAAGGGCAGCAGCCAAGACACCACCAAAATCCCAGGACATCAACACAAGGAGTGGGAAGAACATCGGTGGCGATTTAAAAATGCTTGTAAGCAAAATGGGAAAATGAATAATAGGCCCTCAACCTAAAAAGGTGGATAAACCGCCGTAAAATTTGAGTAAACACAGGCGGCAATCAAGTGAACATCCCACAAAAGAAAATCCCGGGATAAGAAAATAGTGGGTAAAATACTTTGTTACTTTGGATGAACTTATACTTCAGTGGATCGCAAAAGCAAGAATAAAGGATAAATTCAAAAGGGTCTTTTTTACAGAAACAGAAATCAAAAATTACAGTGATTTTGATTGGGGATAAAATAACATGTTAGGCCACAGAGACTCGATAGTAGACAGTGGGTAAACAATGATCACAAAAGTAATATTAAATAACAGGTCAAATCCTGAGTATCCTCCGCAAACTAGGAAGTTCAAAATATATGGGGCGTCCGCAGATACCCTGTCTACTGCCTACATGTCCGCGTGCCATGTAGGAATTGAAAGAAAGTTGAATATAATAGGGCACGTCAATTTATCTGAACTTGAGTATGCATGCACGAGGCACCTGGAACGGTTGTTGGCCGAATTCAGAAGGTTAATCTTATTCTTAAAAAATATAGTTCAAAGACGTCAAAGAATAACTTGGATAGTACCAGGGTCCCTTTTTTACTTCTCCAGACTTGACTGGACTGTATATAATGAAAGCGGCTACCCACGCCTATCATTTTATAGGCGATTTTCAATCAAAATTATACAGGAAACAAAGCATCTGTCGTTTTCAAAGTGAACTTTCTGTATTGATTATATCTGTATTTAGAATTTAAAGTAAACGTAAAACGGGTATTTAGAGAAATGATAAAGGGATGAACATTTAAAATTGCAATGAAACATAAGAAATTATGGGCAACTTATAAAGCTGTAGTTACGTGCAGTTTCCTCGGTATCACAAAAAACGATATGAAGTTGATATTAAAAAGGGTTAAATTCAGTGTTAGCCATAGGCATCTGTCTCGTTAATGGGATACTGACTCAATACCGCATAGCTATCGCTTTTTATGAGGGGTATTAGTGGTATTCTCTTAGTTAAAATGGGGATTTGGACACCCACTAACCCCTAGCCTCATATGTTCTCTGATGCTTGTGTGAACTTATTAGCTGAGAACTCGATTTCTAATAATACCTAAGGTAAAAGACGTGAGAGAAAAATAATAAGTTTTTTTATGGCAAACTACTCTGAAGGAGAACCACCTCCCTTATTGTTCGTGATATGCATTGCAATACTTATAGAAGTGGTCTGAGTCGCCTACAGTGGTACCTACTGTTTTCTACGGTACATCGATTATATTTAATGTACAGTAGTCGCCACAGGCCATGCAATTTTCATAACTTTGTATAAGTTTGATCATTATTCGAATACCAATGTGAATGCATTTAGGAAGATTTACTTATAAGTCGGTGAAACCTATTAACCCGCTCCAATATATTGCAAAAGAGAGAACACAGACAAGTCCTATATTTTATGTTCATATGTATGTGGAATGACATTTAGATTATGATTTTGGGCCAAACCGCCAAAGTATTGCACATCTGTTAGCTATGTTGGCCGGTAATCAGCCTAAATAGCAAGTATGCGGCAGTTCGGACTTATCCCTGACGAACTCTGTTCTGCTAGCTGATAACACGCTACTAAAAAGCAATCTGTCGACCTCATATGCTCACTTGCAACCTAAACAACTTTTCCGAGCGACATCGAAGGCTTCGCTAATGCCAACTGGGTACCTTATACGCCTTTAATTTGGTTCCGTACTTCTTCATTTATAGCGCGAAAAGTTTGAGTCTACTTATAATTTTTTCAGGCATGTACTGCTACTTAATTGGATGGAATTGGTTGTCTGAAGCAGGTTTTTTTCTTAAACATCCACGCCTGTACCAAGCTTGCTGACGGCGCAAACAAGCCAACAATCGTATATCTGAGTCGGATAATTAATTCACGTGAATCGCCATCCCGCTAACATTAGACCAGTCTCAGTCTAGCACGGCACATGTACTTGAGACTTGCGGACTTGTGTAAGGATATTGACAAATTCTTTGACTGGCTACAGCCTGTGCCACTGAAAGCGTGGCAAAGGCTACTTTTTCTCAACAAGGGGACAGTCCCGAGTTGATAAAATGTGAATGGCTGTCGCAGAAATTCCTGCTCGAGTGAACCGTGATGATGCGCGAATGTGTCTGTATTAGGACAGAGTCATTGATCTGTAGGCAAAGTACTTAACAGAGTCAACGCCCGAAGCACTCAGCAGCCTACTCGACCGCGAACGTCCAGGCCTCCAAGAACGAGACCGCTACGCCAGGTACGTACTTGTTTGCGTTTGAAATCTAGATTGCAAGCGTTTCTTACATTGTTCGCAGTAAAAGCGACTTGAGATTGGGATAGGTTTTACAGAAGACGCTGGAGGCAACCAAAACCTCCGCAGTTACTTGGCCTGGTGGAAGTAGGTGAAGTCTAGGCCGTAAAACATCATCTGTAGCACAGAAGCCTAAACTGTTGAGCTGGTA